AATGTAAAACAAAAAATTAGTATATCTAATTATTTATAATACCGTATTGTATCACTTACATATAATTTTGTTTACGAAATATGATATCTTATACCCTTGCAAGTTACTCTTGTACTGTAACACACTAACACCCGAATAGTACCAAAAAGCAAATGAGGATATTCTTCTATCCTTTTTCAAGTCAGAATTAATATAAAAATGTTGAAATTTTCCCTTTCCAACTTTCTTCATGTTCTACTCCTAAAGCTAATTAATGCAGTACATTACTTTTAAAGAACTTAGACCAAATATGATGCTACATAAGCATTGCTAGCTCTATAAATGCTTATATAGTTTTTTATTTGTTTCATTTTTCCTATATTTGAAAACCAAATTTAGGAGAGAAAAAAAGAGTTTCTTTGGAGTGAGTACAGTTTCTTATAAATAATCTCAAATTATGGGTAAATTTTTTGGTATATGCTAAATCTTTAAAATAATTAATTTTTATAAAAATTGAAATTATTAAGTGAAAGGTAAATAAACAAAAACATTTTCAAGATGAAAGCAAAGCAAGTAATCAATCTTCTTCAGAGGCTCGCAAATAAAGCTTTTTATTGAAAGTTGAAACCTACATAAGTTCATAATCCTTGAATGAGAGAGACAATTTAAGTAGCAACATCTAGATAGCAAGAGCAATTAAAATATATACTATAGTTTGAATGTGATATATATATATATATATATCCTTCGTTGATTATGTCAGAAACCGAAAGTAAAAACTAAAGTAACTTGCCAAGCGTTTAAAGGAACGTGAATGTGACATATGAGAATGAGAATTTTGTAATAGTTTATCAACTGTCATAGCATTTATATGCATTTCTTTTTGGATATGCATGTAATGATAGATGATTATGACTTTTTTTCTTTTTCTTTTCTTAATGCTTTGTATAAAGCGGGTTACTATACTGGCCTATGCAGTCAATATGATTAGCCATGTCATAACAGCAAGTTCTTAATTATGTGGAGTAATTATATGCTTAGTATTCATTTTGATTTGATTTGATTTTATTTTATTCATATAAGCTTAGTGATTCTACACCTTTGTTTATTACTCTACAGTCTATACTAACACCACTTTTACAGATTAGAGAAGTGGATGAGTAGTTGTAAGTACAGTTTCAGATTTTTGAATCTTGAGAACTAAACAATACAAATTAGACAATAGTATGGTTGACTTCACACTTCAGTACAAGAATTGAAGCTCAACTAAAGCTAGAATAGCATCTTCTCGACAAAATGCTTACATTTCTAAACTCGGTGAACCAATAAACTATACCAACATTGATTGGGAAAAGTGTTAATAACTAGTATTCCTTAACTAATGCGTACAGTGTAGAAAATAAGAGAGACGAGTAATACTAGTATTGGGTGAACATAGCAACTTACTGTACTTTTTATTGAATAAGAGATGACCTTTAAATAGCCATTGTACAACGTACCGAATTAACAAGAAGATAATAAAATATCTTATCAAAACAAATCTTATCAAAAACTATCTTATCTAAACTGAAACAAATAAAACAGATAAACTAACTCGTATATCTCTAAAATTTAAGATTATCTAACAAAACTCCCCCATAAGCTTAAATTTTTTTTTTTTCATTTCGATACCTCTTCCACCAGAGCGCGATACTCCTCCGCGTACCATGGCCCCGCGAGCCACACGATGTCCAGCACCCCCGGCGCCGCGGTGACCGATGCCTCTTTTGGGATACAAAAGTACCTGTTGTTCTTTGATCCACCTCTAAACCCAGAAAATACTTCATGATGCCCAAATCGGTCATCTCAAACTCCCTCTTCATCACTTCTTTAAACTCCTCAACTAGCTCAGCTTTGCTTCCCATCTCATTCTTCTCAATTGATCCGATCTCCTCATCCATTTCTTTCTTCCATCTCTCATCAAGTACCGCCTCTTCAAATTTTATGTCTTCTGTTCCTATCAAGAGACATACTACATGTAACTCGTCAGTGGAGTTGTAGATGTCTTGCAAGCTCCGAGTTCTAAGCTGCTCAGGTTCATCATCTTCCTCGGAATGCTCATTGGTCCTATCCGAGCTTCTCCCTATTATCTCCGAGCTCTCCCTCTCAGAGTTCGAGCTCCCCGAAGTCTCTTCAGAGTTACTCCAGCTCCACTCGCTTTCCTCATCTACCTGGACATCTCGACTTACCAGAATTTTGCCTGGAACAGGGTTGTACAATTTGTACGCTTTTGCCTTTTCATCATACCCGATCAAGATATACTTCTTGCTCCTATCATCAAGCTTCATTCTGAGCTGAGCTGGAACATGACCGTCAGCAAGGCTTTCGAAAATCTTGAAGTGACGTATACTCGATTTTTGTCCACTCCATGCTTCTTGAGGTG